GCTCCCAGCGTCCACCAGCCGTGCCTGCGCATGCCCGATCGCACCCAGCCGCGTGCCAGCAGGTCCCGGCCACACCCAGTCTGTAACACTCCGCTTATCAGAGTAAATTTTTCGCAACTTTTACTTCGAAATCTTTTGCCCTTAACTCGGGATGCTACTAAAACTTATCTTTTCTGGAAATCCGTTTTTCTTTAAACTTTGTCTAACTACCGATTTAGACATAAAGAAAACAGATTTAATCAAACATGCATGTAACTAGACCATGTTCATATTATTGAACTGGTCGAAATCTTTAAGTCTGAAAATACTTAACATGCAAGTTCGAATCTTGAAATGCGTAGCGGAAATATCTGAAAAGCGTGACATAATATTATACAGACTGTATAAATAATTGTCCACATAATATAGCAACTGATTGCATCCACGAGCACCACCACCACTTGTAAATCTCACATCTCTGCCCCGACCTTGTGACCTGAAAAACACAATGGGGGTGAGTACTGGTCCTTTTGTACCCCGAAATAACAACAATAATAATATAATATCATAATCATCGGTATATATCTGGACTGGAAATCTATTCCAGTAACTGGCTGTAATCTGGCCGATATCTGATCGGATACGTGTGCACACTCTGATGGATATTCCTAAGGCAACTAATGGCCTCCATCAGAACTTAGGATGTACTTGTTAAGGCAACTAGGAGCCTTCATCCCAAGCGTATAAACTGTATACATACCTCGGACATGATATCATATTATAGTCAATGTAATACCCAAGCTGGGTCCCCACCTTTCTTCTTTTGAAAAACGTAAGTGCTGTTCTCGAGTAGCTAACTCCTCAAGCTACATAAAAATATAAACAAATATACTAAGTACTATGCTCGTATACTCAATAAGATACTGGGATTCTCAACTTTAACGGATAACTTATCCTAATCTTAAATAGATTCAATAGGCATACTATTGCACAAAAGAATACTAAACTTAACTTTTCTTGAACTTTACTCGATCAAATACTCAATCCATATAAATCATATTTTCCAAATCTTATATATTGGCTTATACTCACTTGTCACTTAAACAACTTGAAAGTGAAAATAAACTAAATTTCACATTAACTCAAACATACTCAACTTTTAATCATAACACTCAATTATGATATTAATATGCGAGACTTAAAAAAACAATATTTATAAAATTGTATACTCAACATATTAAGCTAAAACTTTGTCAAATTGCTCATCACTTATATGAGAATTTTTCATAATAATCTCACTTTAAAAACTTGAACATATAATGAATATTCGCACATATAAAATCATCTTTACATATATGCCGTCTAAATATCTTAACTCATTCATTTCTCAACTTTAAATCATGAAATTTAGCAGTCATGTTCTTAACTCATATTTAGACATGTCATAACAATTTCATAATTTTATCATGCATATCTCGACTTATTCAAGTTTAAAGTTGCTGCTGGAAACAAGTACATAAAATTCAGCTTGCATGATAAACTTTAAAAGTTCATATCTTGAGTTATACTAAACTAAACGACTTGATTATTGATCCTATGTACTCCTATTTGACATAAGAAATAACCATAGGAAGCATATATTTCTAGATTTTTCATAGCTAGGTAAAAATCTCATCATAACTGAACACATATGACATATATATGAGCTGGAAATAACTTATCTTCTAGCATGCTTATACTCATATAAAAATTTAATATCTAAGTCATATAAAAACATTATTAAACACTTAATATAATCTACTAAACTTTTTAAAAAGATAGCATCTTACCTCCTTCTTGCTTGAAAATCTAAAGTTGCTCCTTGACTTCTTCGAAAATTAAAACTCTACTATTTTTATTTTATTTTTCTCTCTCTTTCTATCTTTTTTATAAAACTATGATGATTTGAGAAGATACTTGATGAGAAAATCTGATTGAAATGCCTCTATTTATAGCCATGAATGAGCTTTTGGTAGATAAAACTTAGTCCACCAACGTTTAATAAAATTCTCACCAATTGTTGAAAAAAATGCTAACTTAAAGACTTAGCAAAACCTTGTTGTGATTTTCTCTTCTAATTCTCACCAATTGATGACCAAAATTTCGTGCTTAATGTGATGGAATTGATTCCATATATTATTAAAAAAATGTCACCATTCATCATATAAAAATCTTTGGAAACAAAATAATAAAAATCATCCTTTTTATTACTTAAGCATTTTCTTTCAAAATGGCTGACTTTTAAAACTCTTTTACTAAAAAGTAATGCTCATATATGGTCTTGGATCATGCTAATAAAAACAAGAATAATAAAATTTACGGGACTCAATTCGAACTTAAAACGAACGTTTACCGTAAAACTGAAAATTCTAAAATTTAAATCTTTTACTCCTGGTTTTTCCTTCAATTTGCTGAACATATTGCTTCTTAGGAGCTAATATAATGATCTTGGAATATTCTAACATTTACGGAACCACATTCGAACTTAAACCGAACAATTACCGTAAAAACTGAAAATTCTAAAAATTTTGGTTTCTCTTAAAATAATTTAAATAGACTATAATATCTAAATAAATTTTCTCACTTCTTTGAACATTTATAACTTAAATGTTCATGGATACTTAACCTTACTTCGAGACTTAACTTGTCTCAACTTATGCTAAGGCTCGATACATCTTATCTTGATGACTTGAACACTTAGAAAAATTCTAAGTATTTAGTACTAAGGCTCGGCTATTACTTAATTAAGACTCAACTCATGACCGAACATACTTGGTTTCGGTTCCATACTTATCTTGAATAATTAATCAAAATAAACTCGATTTCGATTATTCGTCATCTTATATTAATTAATCCCGTCTTATAAATTCATTTATAAAAATAAACAGACCGAAATTAATTGCTGAACTGGCTCGATTACTGAATAAAATTTAACCGAGAATACTTTCGACTTAAAGTCGAACTTTTAACTGAATAACTTAATAACTGTGCTCGGAACTAGGAACGAGCAATATTAATAAAAGTAATTAGTTCAACTTAGAACTAAATAATTACTTTTATTAATTACTGAATGGGATATTACACAGTCCGTGCCCCTACGTGCCCAGCAGCCCCGGTCCGTGCCCGAACACCCCCGACTGCACCTGCGTGAGCCGAACCGCACCCGCACCAGTCCGTTTGAACCCAATTTTTAACTCCCTGACCCGTTTGACCGATTTTCGAGCCTTTAACCCCGTTTTTCGCGTAGAATCTATTTCTGGCCATTTTAAATGATTTTTTCAAATTATTTCTTAAAAATTCGAGGGTTCCAAATTCCACAAAATTCCATGAGCTTCTTAGTCAACGATTTTTCGACTAAGTATTTATCGTTTTGAATTCCCGATTTTCAAGATAAATATTTTGGAAATATTATCTTGAATAAAATTGTAGGTATTTGAGGAGTCGAGCCTCAGCCTACCTACAACCGATCGTGTGATATATCTGTCAAAACTGATTAGGTGGGGGTTGATAAATCTTACCATGTTTGTTAATTCTTATAAATGCTTGGTTTGATAATCAATGTATGCATGTGAATCGGTAGTCTATGAGAGGGTTCTCTCGGTTGATGGGTTGCCGACCACTCCTAACTCTAGCCTTTAGAGAGCTTACTCCATTGATGGTGTATCAACGGTTTGCTCCTGTTGATGGTGTATCGACGGTTTATATGTGATCACATGAGATACGACTGTTTTAGGGGGTAGACTAGGCGATTTGCTTACATGCTGCGATTATGATTTTAAGTCTTTATATTAATTATACTGTATGGTATTCCAACGGTGAGCATGTTGGTCGCTCACTCCCACTAATCCCACTTTTCTAGTTGAGGTGGTGGCCGTGGCGGAAGACGAGCGAGGCGGGGTCATTTAATTGCTATTGAACTGTTTAGCTGCTTCCGCTTACCTATTATTTATCTATCTCATTGTCAGACTTGTTTATTATTGAGGTTGGAAACTGGACCATGTTGGTTATTGTTTTTCTGGGATTTTTATCACATTCTTTAGATTTTGAACTTGAATGATTTATTTGGGATTTTGTTATCTCTTGGATATATTATCATGTTGAAATTGATTTGGATATTGCACATGATTGAATAATTGTTGAGGCATGTGGATTGTTGAGATGAGATAAATTGTTTAGGATGGTTGATTCCAGTTGGTTAAGTGTGGACTTAACTTTTGATTTGTGAATTGTTGAGAGGCGTCCGTTAAATAAAATCTTTAAATTAATTTTTTAAAAATTAACTCTGATTTTTGGAAAAATAAATAGGTATTTTCACTTAAAAAGAACGGGGCGTTACACATAAGAATTTAGCTCCGTAGGGAGCCCAAACCGTATACCATGTAAGAGATCCCTAGTCTGATCCAATGACCACTATAAATAGACGACACTCATCAGTCACCATACATGGAAAGATAGTGACGTTTGGGGTTCAAAAAGACGCGAAGCAGCATGCTTTTTACAAGCGTTTGGAGGATCAGCTTTCAAACGTTGTGGAATACAGACTAGAAGATCGCCTTACCTAATCAAAGCCTCCATATAAAGATAACTATATATTCATACTTTATGATCATGGCTAGATTTGTTTGAAATCATGTATGTACGTATTTAATATCCAATAACGATCCGTGCGAAAAGATCTGTTTGAAATCATGTATATACGTATTTAATATCCAATAACGATCCGTGCGAAAAGACTGCCTTCAGGTGGAACCACCCTTTCCTTCAGGACTACAAAAGCCTTTTCTAATTAATGTTAAACCTTTTAAATTAAAGGATACTAAAATGAGCTTATTCACATTTACAGGTCAAGACCAGCTCGACAGTAAGCACTCAGATTAATGAGACGACAAGTCAACCCCTTGTGCCTGAAACAGACGCATTCATTACCTGCTCTTCGAAATGTATACCTAAAATCCAAATAGGCCTGCAAACAGCTTTACTCATTTGGGATCAAAGACAACACGATTTTATTTAGTCATCGAGTGTTTTAGACAAGGAAATAGGAATCCCCAGTACATCATCATAAATGGCTTGGTGTTTATGGTGTTCAAACTTGAGCCTTTCATTTTTTCTTAGAATACAATGAGGGCAAATAAACTGAGAAAATTATTGTCCAGTAACAACATATTATAGCTAAATATATTTACAAAACAACAGCTACACGTAGAGTATGCATGAAAACCAAAAGTATAAAATATCATTGTACAAGGAAAGCTCAGCCATACAAACACACCATATACTCAGTAAGTATTGACAATAGAACGCAGTATACCTTTTTTTTTTCACTCATTAAAGTTAATCACCTCCACCTAAATTTTCCTTCACCACCATCCACTTCTTTCCTTTTTGATGATTCATTCTCATTGTTGCCAAAAGCTTCGGAACGAAAAGAAGCCATATCTCGAACAGAGCGAGGTTCCTGCAATGTATAAAGCAGTTAACTACTGCAAAAAAATACCCAGAAATTAGCATAAAAAAAGTCATCATTGTGCAACTTCCAGGTTCGTGTTGCCTTGGACGGCAAGTATGGTGTGTAAAGCATGGTTGTATAATTAAATAATGGTTTAATTACAGAAACCACCTCGAAATTTTGCGTAATCATGTAAGGCTCCATTATCTTTCAATAGCTCCTCACAAACTACCAACTTCCTCTCGGGGATCAGTTACCTAACTAATACCCCATTTAAGATGGGGTATGTACATAAGAAATATATGTAAACTGGACATTCACTTGATATTTAGTAAAGCTGTTCTTCCGTTCAAGTATACGACACACAATCTTCCCATAGAGTTAAATAAATGAAACAAAAATAATTTCAATGAAATTCAACTACATTTCACAATTTTTAGGTGCTCTAACAAAAGTGTTCCTAAAATGTTCAAAACACTTCTATCAGAACTTCCTGTCAGGAAAAAAAAAAAGTAAAAATAAATAAATCAGGCATTCCTAGTCCACTAGCCAATAATATGAAAAACAAATTGCAATAAATTGCAAGACAAAGCGGAAAGAGTGGCAAACTGCTTACCATACTACGGTAAGGAAATTCATCTGCCTCAAGCATGTGAACAATCTGTCCCATCTTTGGACGTTTATTGGCATCCAAATCAATACATCGAAGGCAAAGCAACAATATTCTCTTCAAACTTCTTGAGGGGGGAGGAACGTCTATCAAGGGGTCCACAACCTCTTCCCCACGTCGACTTGCCACCATTCCTTTGAACCAATCAACTAAGTTCATCTGAAATTGGGAGAAGGGTCAAAAGTGTTTACTGATAATTAAATTCTAAGTATGCATCATCCTTAAAAGATAAGCTGGAGGAATTATTCTGGGGAATTACAAGAGCTATCTCAAAGTTGAACTTAATAACAAGAGAAAGAATTATCGTCCAAGATAACAATACCCTTGGACCATTGTTTTTAGTAAGCATTTAACCGATAAGGTTGTGACATCATATGAGGTCTCTGTTTTATCTTAAAAAAAATTGGAGCTTTTTTTTTTTTTTTGTTTNTTTTTTTTTTTTTTTTGTTTACGTCAGTTAGATTAATTCCTAGGGTCAGCATTTGTGGCTTTTCTTTAATACTGATAACTGATAACTAGTTCATCTGGAAATTACGTTCACCTCTCCAGGTGGTTTGGAGTAGTCTACTGGGCTCCTTCCAGTTATTAATTCCATGAGTAGAACCCCAAAGCTGTACACATCATTTCCCTCATTAAGCATACCAGTGCTTGCATAGTCAGGGGAGACATAACTGTGGTAAATAAGCAATCAATGATGAGGAGTAAAGACAAATATAAACGTTCTGCTTCAATTGAAAGTTAAGCAGAGGTCAGAACAGAACGAACCCAAATGTGCCCATCACTCGAGTAGTAACATAACTTTTCTCAGATCCAAGTAATTTGGCGAGTCCAAAATCCGATACTTTGGCGTTCCATTTCCTGTCTAATAGTATGTTGCTGGACTTCACATCACGATGAACAACTTTAGGTTCTAACCCTTCATGCAAGTACGCAAGTCTGACAACATTTAGAATTTTATAGATCAATATAACATAATAATAGACTACAAGGATGAATGCCTGTGTTGACAAGACTGAATGACGGTTTAAAAAAAGCATTATGCAGAACATAGATGTAGACGAAGTTCTGCACTCTTATCACAATGAATAAAAGCAGGCGTATCGTAATCAGATCACATAGAATGTGTTCATTCTTCACTCTTATAACATATGTACAAATATCATGAAATAAAATATCCCACATTACGTTATTTTAGCTAATATTCTTAAAGGAAGACATTTGATTTATTATTTATATATACAACCACTTAAGGCTATTGAAAACTGGAGCTTAACCGAATAGCCCACAATACATATAATTCACAAGGATTCCGGCAGAGAAAGGAAGACCTTTATTTCTATAAATGCAAGCGCTATGGACATTCGGAGAGACATGGTGACTGCCATATACCAACCTATAAACTGCCTGAAAATGCTTTAAACAATGTGCCATCACAAAACAAACACGTAGACAATGTGAAGTATGAATGCCATTATACTACAACATTGCAAGAAAAGCCTCACCCTCTAGCTGTCCCAGTCGCAATTTTCATGCGGATGTTCCAAGTCAAAGGACTCACAGGCCCCACATCGCCATGCAACCACTGCTCCAAATTCCCATTATCAATGTATTCATACACAAGCAGCCTTATTGAAGCATGAATAATTAAGCAATAATTAATAAGGGGTAAAAAAGAAAAGGAAAACATTAAAACAACATTAAGAAGCCATACGAATGTACCGTTGCTCTCCTTCTGCACAATAACCTATGAGACCCACCAGGTTCTTGTGTTTTACTTTTCCAATGGCTTCAACCTCGACCTTAAATTCCTTCTCTGCTTGACCCCTGTTGATGAGAGTGGATACAAGGCATTAAAGTTGTTTCATATTATGTGGGGGCAAGTAATAACCGTAACCAAAATACGTCTGCTTGTTTTAGAAAGACAAGAAGGAACTTCTGATGTTGGCATAAATATTTCGATTTCAACTATCAGCCCATTAGTATGATCCACAATGGCTTTATACCACTAGAATACAATATTGGGGATGGAAACTGAAATCAGATGATAATATTCAGTCACATAAAAAAGTGGTCCACCTAGTTTAGTGTAGAGATGCTACAGCACGAAAAGGCCTCATACATTCACTACTTCATACATTTCTTTTACTACCTAATTTTCCTGAATCAGCATTAACCACATTAAACTACACTGAACCAAGAACCAAGAATAAAGGGTTAAAGAGGAAAAGGAAAAGGGCACCTAAACTGCCAAAGGAAAATGATAAAGTTGACCTAGACAGGATAAAGAAACCTAATGATATTGCAACAGCTAAACTGAAATTAATTAAAGGTAAAAAGATGAGTTTAAAGCTCACCCTGTAGAAGAGGGAGAAGATAATAAAAGAAACAAAAGCGACCGCTTACTTTGTTTTCTTTCCTTAATCCCTAGTCAAAAGAGACAAAAAGAACAGTCAACAATACTTATCACTGCACGATCCAGATCGAAGCTTTTAATTCCAGTTTCCGTTCTTCAGAGAAACCAACTCAGTAAAATACATATTACTTCACAATATTACAATCCAACATCATTGAACTAAACAAATATATGGCCATAACTGAGATATGGAAGCGAAAGTCATTTGCACAACAAAGATGCACAATATAGTCCAACGAAATTGATGGCAAGTGAAATGAAGAATTATTGATGCTAACTTTATTTAAATCTTGTTATTTCCAAAATTCTAAGACTGTAATGGGCTGAGGTTATATATTCGATACTTACTTGCTGTTGAGAAGATTTTTTACGGCGACCACAGAACCATCGCCGAGAACCCCACGATAAACAATACCATAGCCTCCTTCTCCAACCACGTTATCTCTTGAGAACTGATTCGTCGCGATTTGGAGCTCAGTCAAGCTGTACCACCTCCCCCAACTGAAGTTTCCCACGCCGTCGGCGGTGGACGCCGAAGAGGTCTCGCTCCTGCTCGTGCTCGATTCCGAGCTCCCCTTCTTGCTGTCCGACTTAAATTCCAGCCCCTTCTCCAGGTCACCGATCAGAAAGTCTCTACCTTTATCGTGGATTCCTTCACTTCGATCCGACGGCTTAACCTCTCCGATCTCCCCGCCGACAAGCGGCAGAAGTCCAGAGGTTTGCCTGACGGCAATGCGGCGTCGTTTGGATCTCCGGCTACGGAAGAACAAAAGAATCACAAGGAAAGCGGCAAGCACGAGGAAGACGGTTGCAATTATGACCACGTATAGCCTCTGATTGAGAATCGGAGTCCGAGTCGTGAAAATCGAGGAATCGCCGGAAGCTGCCATTGCTGCCGGCGAGATAGTCGGGTGAAACTTTGAACGGCGTGTGATAGAGAAAATGGCTAAGGCACAAATAAATGCAGCAGCAGAAGCAACTGAGAGAGAATGGGAAATGGGAAAGCGAGAGAGTGGCTCTGAGGGAGGTTTTAAACAGAGGTTTTTACATTTATTATGATGGAAATCCAATATAACAAAAGATTTATTTTAAATATTACTATTACTATTTAATATGAAAATGGGAAAAATCAAGTGGAGCGTGGGCTCGATGTCGATCGACCGTTAACGAGTCAATTGACCGCTGTACCCTTATAAGCACCTTGCATTTACTCCTTTTTTGTTTTCAGTGCACAAATCCATTAGCACCCTGCATATATTAAAATTTTAATGATTTATTTAAATTAATAAATAAAAAAGTAAATCTATATATATATAATTACTAGCTCAAAACATTTAATAAAACCTATTTAATTTTACCTATGTGGCAATTTAACAATTTTCCCTCCAAAAACCGTTACATTTTGATGTATTTAATCTTTCATTTAATCATTAAATAATTAATACTCATCACTTTAAAATTATAAAAATTATTTTAAACTTTTGATTAATGACAGTTGACCATATAATGTGTTGACCGTATAATGTGATTACATGTTATTATTGTTGTTACATTTAATTTTTTTTTTTGAAAATAAAAAATATATCTATATATATATAATTACTAGCTCAAAACATTTAATAAAACCTATTTAATTTTACCTATGTGACAATTTAACAATTTTTCCTCCAAAAATCGTTATATTTTGATGTATTTAATCTTTCATTTAATCATTAAATAATTAATACTCATCACTTTAAAATTACAAAAATTATTTTAAACTTTTGATTAATGACAGTTGACCATATAATGTGTTGACCGTATAATGTGATTAGATGTTATTATTGTTGTTACATTTTTTTTTTTTGGAAAATAAAAAATATATTTGAAATTTCTAAACAAATAATAAATAATTCACAAATAAAAGACGTACCAAAATAAACATTACATCCAATTAGATAAACGTATTTTTAAAAAAAATATTCCAACTCTTTTAAGTAAATTTGGTCTGCAAAAAAGTGAAAGAAAAATAATTAATCATTATATGCATACAGACTCACAATAATTTATTTATATCTGTGCAAATGCACAGGTCGCATACTAGTTCTAGATAAATCCCTAATGCCATAATACATTTCCTTGTCAGTCCCTCCTTTAATTTTTTTACTCTGCACTCCTTAAAGTTATTTGTCTCTTTCCTCTCAACTCCCCATATATATACCTATATTATTATTATTCATTTATTTTACCTAGTTTTCATAAGAAATTCAATTTCAATTCTTTAAGCTTCTCTCTCTTCGTCTCGTGTCTCTCTCTCTCTCAAAATCAGTCGATCGTCTCTCCTCTAAAAATTCCATCGTCTCTCTGAAAATTCGTTCGTCTCTTCGTTCATTCCCCATCCCGTCGCCGACCATATCTCTGGGAAGCTTGTCCTCCTCCTCGCCGTTCCACATCCGTTCTTTTCAAAGAACCTCTTATCCTCCAAAACAATGGCGGGCTTGAAAAACCGTCCTCCTCGTCGTTCCACATCCGACAAACCGTCCTCCACAGTAAGCAAGGTAAGATTTTGGAGATTTTTTTCAACAATTTTGAATTATTTCTTTAATTCGAAATTTGGGAATCTTTTTCAAAATTTGGAATTTTTTATTGAATTCGAGATTTTTCAAAAAAATTGGTATTTGGTTGATGCCAATGCACTTCGAATTTGAGTTTTATTTCATCAATTACGAATTTTATTGATAAATTAGGGCTCTTTGCATGTCTAGGGTTCATAATTTTTTGATTTTGGTATTTTTTTTTTATCAATTGTTGCTGTTATTGTTATTGTTTTATTTGAATTAGCTTTTGAATTTGACATCTAATTCTCTAGTCAAATGCTTTTTAGCTTCTATTTTACGAAACTACCACTTCTAATCTACCACTGTAGTTTTTAATTGGGTGTTATTCCTATTATTTGTAGAATTACATTTGTTTTCTGATGAATAAGAACTTTATAAGCTCTATGTTTTGGAGAACTCGAATTCTTGGGGTACTTTGAAATAATGAATGAAGATTTTCACCATTTTCTGCTTCAAAATTTGTGATGGAAATGTGGTCTTATAGTTGATTGGTTAATTACTGGGAGATTGTGTGTTCTTGCGAAGGCAAACTTAATAAAACTTGCAATTCCATTAGTGTGTGGTAATAGTTCTCATATGATGATCATCATCTTGATAATACTAATTTCATTAGTTATTGCTTGTTTTCTCAACTAATACTAATTCCATTAGTTATAGTTCTCATATGAAGAATACGACTACTATAGGGACCAAGACAATGTTAATTTTGATTCAACTTATTGTTTTTTTTTTTTNTTTTGTTTCCCAGGTACTTGATACCATGTTCTCTGACAATGAGTTTCTCTGAATATTAAGAAAAGCTTCAGAATGAGAATGGTGAATAGTCATAATCATGAATTAGTTATATGAGCAAATGAGAGAATACATGGGCTTATAGAATGCTTTTTTGAGTTGTGGGATTATCCAATAATCATTGAGAAAAAATGGTTACATTTTCGTGCTTTGCATTGTGTCACTTAGTAGAATGTGTTGAATAGGAGACTCGATGCTTAGGTTGAAGAATTAAATTCCCAAAGTTAGTCGTTCCCTGCTGCAGCTACATAGAAACCTGAAAAAAGAAGACGAATCATGACTGAAAATGAAACCAGAACTAAATTATATTACTATACTATGAAGTATAGAAAAAAGTATCACATCTACTAGTCATTGAGGTTGAATCATAAGTATGAATTAGCTGAAATGAAATACAAAAGACTCATACTTAAACTTGGCAATATTCCTATTATTTGTAGAATTACATTTGTTTTCTGATGAATAAGAACTTTATAAGCTCTATGTTTTGGAGAACTCAAATTCTTGGGGACTTTGAAATACTGAATGTAGATTTTCTCCATTTTCTTAGGGAGTGTTGTATGTTCCATTCCATTGAGTTGATGGTCATGTATGGGAAGCTTATTTGTTCATCTGATTGAATATTTCTTAGGTTGGCGATCTTGGATTGTCCAAGGTAAAACAACATAGTTTAGTTTCCGGAGGTATTATGGGGAACATTACCATGGATGGCCTGAGTTCAATTTCACTTTGTAAAATGACATACTATAATCATAATGCTTACAGCTGCATTGGGTGTAAATTGAGATCATTTACGAAACGGCCCGAGGGCATGGAAGCACGCATCCTCAGAAATCCTTCATGTTGACACTGTTTGGCTTATGTTGTGAACAATATGTCTGATTGCAAATTTTTGGCTTGTCTTTGAACAATAGGTGTTATGAATGTGGTCGTTTGCCTTGTTTTAGAACAAAAGGTGTAGACTGTTTGGATGATAGTTTTGGAATATGGTTTATGGATGAAAGGGAACAAATGATATGATTTTTGTTTGTTTTTTAAACTGTTACCAGTTTTTCCTTACATAAATACTAACATTATGAGATATTAGTACTCATTTTTCCAGTGTTGCGTACCTACTTTGTAGAAAGGAAAAAAAGATGTGCAAGTTCTTTAATGATACCTGTTTTCATCAGAATAGTACTAGTTTTACCGATAATAATACCACATCATCTTCTATGCAGTACCAGTTCTTGATGAATTAGTACATATTTTGTAGAAAGAACAAAAATAGATTACTTCAATTGTAGTCAACATTTGCAAAATTAGTACCAGACCTAGAGTAAGATAGTACAAAAATTATGGTGTTCTAGTACCATATATAGGGTCTTCAGTACCAACTTCGACGACCTAAAAATAAAAAACGAATTTTCTAAAATAGTACCAGTTTTACAACGTTTTTATGACGAAATCACTCGTGAGCAATCTGTTTAGTATATCAATTAATAATTCTATCTATATTAATTAATATTTTTCAACCAACTACGACGAACATAAAAGAAAAAAAAAAAAAAAAAAAAAAAAAAAAAAAAAAATGAATTTCGTAAAATGGTACTAGTTTTTCAAGAAATAATACCACTCCTTCTTCTATTCAGTACCAGTTCCTGATGAATTAGTAGTACCTACTTTGTAGAAAGAAAAAAAAAATGGTCACTAGGATAAATTTCGCAAGCCGCGAAACCAGACCCGCGAGCTGCCCAAAATTCGCGAACGCCAGCATTTTCAGCGTTCCAAGCTCGCGCCCTCGAATCCTGCTTCGCGGGCTGCCCGAAAATTCGCGAGCTATCGGCATTTTCAGCACTAGAAACTCGCTCCGCGCCCGCGAGATCCCGCTCGCCCGTGCCGCTTGCACACTAATGAAAGTACCAGTTTTGGAAATCATAATACCGCTTCTTCTTCTATGTGGTACCTGTTTTTGATCAATTAGTACCAGGTCAGCAAAAATGGATTATTCAATTGTGGTCAACATTTGCAATAATTGGTACCAGACCTACAGTAATATAGTACCAGCTTTTGGTGTTTTTGTAACGTCCTGTTTTATTTTAAAAAAATTTACTGAATTTATTTACAAAAACCAGAATTAATATTTTTTTAAAAAAATTAAATTTAAAATTTAAAACTCAACGGACGCTACTTAACTATCGACAACATTTAAACAATTACGACAAATAAATAAATCTTACACATGCATAAGCCAACACTTATAAAAATAAACCGACTTATTCATAAGTCTCAACGTCAATCAAAAAGCTTAACATAATCCATGGTTTCAAGCGGAAGCATAAATAATCTAGTTCAAGCGGAAGCATAAATAATCCAAAATGGAAGCAAGTAGTTTATCATAAATAAAACAGACGGAAGCAAAAGACACATCCGTTAATGACCACCATCTCGCTCGTCTTTACGCCACCGCCTCCAGCTCATCTCAACCTAAGGAAGGAAGAGAAGACAACAACAGAAAACAAACAATGGGGGTGAGCATAGCCAACAAGCTCACCATTATCGCACAGTTATCCAGTATAAGGCATTTTAAAACAATTTCACAGTATGCATAGAATCCAAGGTCTAAACTTTATACTCAGCCCTATCGCAAACCTCCTATGTACATACAACAACCTTCCG